TCTGTCATGCAGGCTGCCAGCTGCAGCTGGGACTCCGAACCCCAAGGTGCCTTGCCTTGTGACTGTCCCAGTGTGTCTGGGCAGTGGGGTGTGTCTGCTGCCGCGTCTGACGCTGGCTGGGCCTGCTCCTGACTGCCTCCGTGCCATGTCTGTTCTGTCTTCTGCAGGTGGCGGCGGGAACAGGAAGGGCAAGAGTAAGAAATGGCGCCAGATGCTGCAGTTCCCACACATCAGCCTGTGTGAAGATCTCCGGCAGATGCTCGGTGAGGTGGCTGTTTGCCGGGTGCTGAGTGCTGGCCTCTCCCCTCTCGCACATGGGGTGGGTGGAGACTTGGGGTGCTTATTGGTTACCCGGCTGGCAGTTCATCCATGCTGCTGCTAGCTCTGTCTGATGCATTTGTGAGTCCTGTGTCATGGGGTACACTGGGCGCGCTGCTCTGTGGTGGACCATAGGTCTGCCAGATGTGTGCCGAGCAAGGGGGAGTGTGCAAAGGATGCTTCCTCTGAGCCCCTTGGACACATCCCGCAAGGTCCTTCAGGGCCCCCAACCTCTCCAGGAGGCTGGTGTACCTGGGGGTTCGCCAGACACATCTCACTCGCTTCCGAAGTCTGATAGAAAACCGAGCGCACTCGCACGGGGAAAGGCTGGCTTCCCTTGGCCATGGAGTGCAGTAGCTCTCTTGGTGCAGACGTATCGTCTGTCCGTTCCAGATGCATCGCACCCAGAGCCGTATAAACGAGTCACGGCAGGGAATTGTAGCTGGGACTGACTCCACTAGGGTTTTTATGCAGCCTGTGATAAAATGAGGCAAATCTCTCGCCGAGCTGCTTTAGCCCCCAGAAGGTCTCCGCATTCTGTAGGGGTACGTACCCCTGATGGAGAACCATTGCCCCACTGTGGGAATCCAGACCTCCCTGCCCCTTGGCTCTCTGCTCCAGGATCATCCGTGGCCGTTGCTGGGCCATGGAGTTATGCTTTAGGGAGGTACAACCTCTACTCCCTTTTGTTTTAAACCTGCTGCTTCTTTCTTTAATTTGGTGACCCTAGTGCTGGTGTAGTGGGAAGGAGTAAACAGCACTTCCTTACCTGCTTTCTCCACCCCGGCCGTGATTGGCTAGACCTCGGTCATATTCCCCCGGAGTCTCTTTGCCAAGCTGCAGAGTCCCAGTCTGATTCGTTGCTCCTCATGCGACCGGTTCTTTGCATTCCCCTTTTCTGATTCCATTCTCTGTTGAGATGCAGTGACCCCATGTGCTCAGGGTGGGCATGTCGTCCGCTGTGTGTCTGGCTGCTCAGGAACTGGCCCACCCCCTTCCGACAGCGCTTCCTCTGATCACTTCAAAGCAACAGGAGGGTTGGCTGGACCAGGGCAGTCAAGTCATCGAACCAAACAAAAGAGACTTGCCAGGCAGGTGAAAGGGGCTGGCTGGGGGTGTTTTCCTGCAGCCCCGAGCCTCCCACTCCCCCAGGGGCCCTTTTGGAAAGGTGGGAAGACTGAAGTCTCGCCCCCGCCCCCGATTCACTCGGGCTCAATGCAGGCCTTTCCCCTTTGCCAGGAGCCAGGGGAGAGGGCCCAGTCTGCTGCCTTCCTGGCTCTGGCAAGCAAAAATACCCTGGACAGAATTAACATTTAAAAAATGTTGTTCAAAACAATGTGAACAGCCCTTTAAGAAATCCAAGATAACAAGGAACTTCGTGAGCAGCCCTGTGTTAGAAAATCGCTCATTTAAACCAAAGCCGCTCATGAGTTAGGGGCCCGAGCAGCGCTGGGTTCGCAGGCTAGTGCATTTAGAGGCCATAGGAGATCGTCTTATTCTCTCCCTTCTGTAACGGTGCCCAACGTTCTGTTTGATTTTTCGCCGCGGGCTGTTTTCAGAGGGTCTCTCGAGCGGTAATAGCTAGTTCAGCCCCATCATGTGGGGATTCTGGGGTCCCATGTGGACCGGGACGGTGGCACGGGGAGTGGGTGGAGCTTCCTTATCGCAGTGTGAAGTGAGCCACAGTGGCCTACTCCAGCTTGTAAGCTGCTGGCTCAGCCCCCCATGCCCTGCCCAGCCCAGCCTGCTCTCGCTGGGCAGGGAGGGTGCAGCTGCGATTCTGGGGCAGGCAGGGCGTGTGGCTCTGAGGATGGCGGCCGAGCCGGCTCCATGGCCATGCCTGTCCTTCAGCTGGCCTCCGGGTGCTCAGCCCTCTGGCCAGTGGGCTCGGAGAGCAGTGCATTCCATCTGCTGCCGCACTGCCTGTCGACAGGGAACTGTCCCATCCGCCCCCCCGGGCCCCGCCACTGCCTTGCTGGGCTCCATTTTCCGTTCAAGGGCAGCTCCGCATCCTGGCTTCCCACAGGGCTTTCCCCTCTGGCTACAGTGCCAGGTGTAGGCATTCTGATTCCCCACCCCCCGCCCCAGGGGGGTGCTGGCCCCTCGGCATCACTCAGCTCAAACCCCCACGGCACAAGTCGGGCTCTCAGCAGGCCTGCACCGCGCTGGGGCCGTGGGGGCAGCAGGGGTCTGACCTTACCAGCGGTGAACCCTTCACCTTCCCCCTGGCGGAGGAAATGGCGTTGCTAGCGAGGCAGTGGTGGGGCCCCCTCAGCTGGAGCTGCTCTCTGAGCTCTGCACCGCTCCGGAAGCCACAGTTTCCTCAGAAGCAACTGCTGCTTGGGGGTGAACGCCCACAGTGTGTCGGGCGGGGCGGGGCTGCCAGCCCTGAGAGCCGTGTGGGGACCCCTGGCCTAAGGGGCAGTGGAGTGCCTCCTGGGCTCCCCACGCCCATAGTGGGGGAGCATGTCCCTTCCAAAGCCACCGGTGGTGTGAGCAGTGAGGGCCGGCTGCTCTGCCAGCGGGGGACGGAGCCCCTGCGGCTGGCGGGGCCAGGTGTCTGGTCCCTGATGTAGACGAAGGCCCCAAACCAGGGGTGGCCAAGCTAAACCGAGAAGGAGCCGGAATTTACCAGTTCTGTGTCCCCAGTCATGCTCATCTCCCCCTGGGATCAGCTCTCAATGGAGACACTGGAGGGGGAAGCAAGGGGGTGGCAGGCTCAGTGGAGAGGGTGGGAAGTGGCAGGATCCTAGGGGAAGGGCTCTAGGGCAGAGCTGGGGGTTGAGCAGTGAGCACCCTCTGGCCCAGTGGAACGTCGGCACCTGCAGCTCCAGCCCTGGATTTGGTACCAATGCGAGGAGCAGCATAGGCTGGCTGGCCACCCCTGCCCTAGACCAAAGCGAGTCATGGGAAGTGAGCAGCCTGTCAGATGGAGTGGGCAGGAATCGGTTCTCTGTGCACCCCGCCGAGCTGAAACGGCCTTGGAGGCTGGAAAAGGAAGCACGCCCCTGCCTGGGGGGGCAGGGCACGGTTGCTGAGCGCTCTGGGAAGCGGAGCACGAGCACGTGGCAAATGCAAAATCCCACCTGTAGGAATGACCCGTCGGCCATGTCTCCCCGGGAGGCGGCTGAGCGCTCTCGCCACGCTTGCGCGTACAAGCGGACATAGTGAGGTGGCATTACCATCATGTCCCGCTCCGGAGCCCACCCGTTACGGAGCAGGCTGGAAAATCGGGAAGGCTGCAGAAGAGCTCCGAGAGCAGCGTGAGGGCAGGAGTTCAGTAGACACAAGCTAGCAAAGAGAAGGGGGGTGCCTGGGCCGTGGCCAGCCCGTGTCTCCCTGGGGGATGGAAGACAGACGCCAGCCCCGCTGGGACGTCTGCATAGTGAGGCTACCCACATCAGGTTCCTGGAGGAAACTAGGCCCAACGTTCTAGCGGTGAAGAGAATGGCCCATGGGCCCATGGCAGGCGGGTCGAGCCGGGACTGGCGGTCCGGTCTATGGCCACGCTCTAGTTCCGGGCACCGCAGAGGGGAGATTCTTCGCCTGCATAACCAGCTCAGCCTAGGGAGTCCCAGTGCTCTCGGTTGGCCTGGTCCGTGGACTCGCTTTGCTGAGGAGCCTGAGGGGCGTGTCCTTCAGCAAATCATACAGTGGCGTGAGCTCTCGTGGGCGCGTCCCTACGCTCACTCCCCGCTTTGCGCCCGCAGAGCGGGACTATCGCAGCCTGTGTGAGAAGCAGCCTATCGGGCGCCTGCTCTTACGGCAGTTCTGCGAGACGCGGCCCGAGCTGTCGCGCTGCGTCGCATTCCTGGGAGCCGTGGTAAGTGCCAGCTGCCGGCACCGCGCTGCCCCGCTCCGGAGAGCCCGGGGCCAGTTGGCCGAGAGCCCTCCCTGCCACCTGCTGTCCAAGGAAGAGCTCGGGAAAGCTTGGGGCTGCCCTGAGATCTGGACTCCCTGGGGGTCTTGTTGCTGGCAGGCAGCCCTGCCACCTCCCTGACCGAGGGGCGCACTGCCAGCCTCGCTCTCTTTGCACAGGCCGAGTACGAAGTGACTCCGGACGAGAAGAGGAGGGAGTGTGGGCAGCACCTGATGGACAGATTCCTGAACCCCCAGGTACGGCAGCGACCCGAGCAGGCTGCTCCCTGCCCGCTGAGCTTGAGGGAAGCAGGTGCCTGCATTAGTGCCTAGGAGAAGCACCCCTCCATAGGGGCGTGCCCGTGTAGCCAGGGCGGAGGGAGCAGAGCCCCTCCCCTGCCCCAGGTACAAATGTGCCTGACGTCACTGTGTCCTGGGAGCAGGCCGAGACCGCTGGTGGGCTCCTGCGGACTCCGTTCTCCGACTGGCGGGGCCCCCGTGTCTGACTCGCTCCTCCTCTCCCAGAGCGTGGCTCACGTGCCTGAAGTCAGGCTGGAGCAGGAGCCAAGCAAGGAGCTATTCAAGGAATCAACCAAGTGAGTTGGGGCAGCGGGGGCCTGGCTAGAGGTTACGCTGGGCAGTGGCTGGGCCAGTGGCCCTCGCAGGAGTGCTTTGGGTTGTGCCGGGGCTTTGAATCTCGCTGCAAGGGGCGGAACGTAGCCAGCCTGGAGGGGAGGGGGCGTGAGTGCAGCCTGGGGCTGCTTCCCTGCGTTTCAGGGGGCGCTGAAGGCCACATGGTGGATCAGGACTCTGTTCTCGTGTGGCGTACTCCCTGTGTGAGTCCCCATTGGGCCGTGCAGCCCTGCTCGAGGGCGCGCTCTGTCTCGGGGTTAAGCCTGCCTGTGTCTCGTGGGCCACTGCGGGGAGTCCCCTGCCTCTGGCTCCGAGGGAGCAGGCCCGGAGCGACTTCCAGCCGGACCCAACAGGAGGGGTTACTAAGCATCGTGGAGGTTAGGTCCGTAAAAGGCGATTAGCCGGGGGATAAAATGGTGTCCCTGGCCTGTTTGTTGGAGGCTGGAGAGGGATGGCAGGAGACAAATCGTCTTCGGTCCACCCCCTCCGGGGCACCTGGCGCTGGCCACTGTCAGCAAACAGGACACTGGGCTAGATGGACCTTTGGGCTGCCCCAGTACGGCCGTTCTTATGAACCCAGTCCAGGAAACTCTCTGGGCGCTCAGGCCTGGCCTCCCAGAGCGCAGCACATCTAGGTCCTCCCTGCAACCAGGCGGGCTGTGCCTGCTCTCTGCCCCGTCCAGCAGCTTTCTCCTTCCAGGGGGGCGTCCTCTCGCTGGCCCAGGTGAACAGGTCACTGGGCCTGGGCCCTCCCCCTTGAATGGAACTGGCTGGCCAGGTCACCAGGGTCCCCTCTCCTCAGCCTGTGTCCTCCCACGGGCTGGAACAGGCTGCCTGCCGGACCCTCGGCTCCCCCCTCCCCCCCCTTTCAGTCGCTCCCCCCGTGCTAGAGATGCAGCGCACCGGCCTCCCTGCCCTCACAGGCATGGTGCTAAGGGGCAGCTGGCACCACGGCCTGTGTGCAGCACCAGCCCATGGGCCAGGCCCTTCCCGGCCCTGCACGTCTGGAGCAAAGGGCCCTCGTGGAGGCAGGGGCACTGGAGCAAAGCCTGGCTGCCCTGGCAGGGCCTGCAGCGACTGGGCGGTGAGCCGCTCTCCTCCGGGAAGCATTTCCAGCAGCCTCCGGCCCACCCCTCTCTCCCAGGCTCATCCATGACTTCCTGAGTGTGGCCCCCTTCGCCGACTACCTCGACAGCATCTACTTCAACCGCTTCCTGCAGTGGAAATGGATGGAGAGGTAAGTCTGACTGCCCGGGGGCTGCCCGAAGGGGCCCTCCAGCCCTTCCTGGCCTTCTGGCTGAAGCCAGGCCGGCGGGAGCAGAGGTGCTGACCCCTCACTCAGCACGGCACCCCCGGAGCCCTGCAGGCCTAGCCCTCTGAGGTCAGGGCAGCCTGGGCCCTCCCCGCCCCCTCTCATCTCATGCCAGCCTCTTCTGCCTTTCCGCAGGCAGCCAGTCACCAAGAACACCTTCCGCCAGTATCGTGTCCTGGGAAAGGGAGGCTTCGGTGAGGTGAGTTGTCAGTGTCCTCACCTGCCTTGGAGTGTGTGGGAATTGGTGCCAAAGCCTCGTCCTGCCAAAGGGCCCTAGGATGGCCTGGCCTTTGCTTTCTGACCTAGCCCCCAGGAAGGACTCCCGTGGAAGATGCTCTCTGCTCTTGCTCCCCATTTCAAGCACATGCTGGACACTGGAGCTGTGCTTAATGGGGAGCAGGGGCTGGCGCGGTGTGCGCTGGGGACAGGCGGTGCTCGGTGGGGAGCGGGGGCTGGCGCGGTGTGCGCTGGGGACTGGCGGTGCTCGGCGGGGAGCGGGGGCTGGCGCGGGGTGCGCTGGGGACAGGCGGGGCTCGGTGGGGAGCGGGGGCTGGCGCGGGGTGCGCTGGGGACAGGCGGGGCTCGGTGGGGAGCGGGGGCTGGCGCGGGGTGCGCTGGGGACAGGCGGGGCTCGGTGGGGAGCGGGGGCTGGCGCGGGGTGCGCTGGGGACAGGCGGGGCTCGGTGGGGAGCGGGGGCTGGCGCGGGGTGCGCTGGGGACAGGCGGGGCTCGGTGGGGAGCGGGGGCTGGCGCGGGGTGCGCTGGGGACAGGCGGGGCTCGGTGGGGAGCGGGGGCTGGCGCGGGGTGCGCTGGGGACAGGCGGGGCTCGGTGGGGAGCGGGGGCTGGCGCGGGGTGCGCTGGGGACAGGCGGGGCTCGGTGGGGAGCGGGGGCTGGCGCGGGGTGCGCTGGGGACAGGCGGGGCTCGGTGGGGAGCGGGGGCTGGCGCGGGGTGCGCTGGGGACAGGCGGGGCTCGGTGGGGAGCGGGGGCTGGCGCGGGGTGCGCTGGGGACAGGCGGGGCTCGGTGGGGAGCGGGGGCTGGCGCGGGGTGCGCTGGGGACAGGCGGGGCTCGGTGGGGAGCGGGGGCTGGCGCGGGGTGCGCTGGGGACAGGCGGGGCTCGGTGGGGAGCGGGGGCTGGCGCGGGGTGCGCTGGGGACAGGCGGGGCTCGGTGGGGAGCGGGGGCTGGCGCGGGGTGCGCTGGGGACAGGCGGGGCTCGGTGGGGAGCGGGGGCTGGCGCGGGGTGCGCTGGGGACAGGCGGGGCTCGGTGGGGAGCGGGGGCTGGCGCGGGGTGCGCTGGGGACAGGCGGGGCTCGGTGGGGAGCGGGGGCTGGCGCGGGGTGCGCTGGGGACAGGCGGGGCTCGGTGGGGAGCGGGGGCTGGCGCGGGGTGCGCTGGGGACAGGCGGTGCTGGCAGATGGGGAATCAGGCGCACAGCTGGATTTTCCTGAGGCAGTGGCAGAGCTGGGTTTAGAACCCAGGTCTTCCAGACTCCCAGTCCCTAGCTTACGCCATTAGCATCCCTTCCTGGTGGTCCATGTGCCAGAGGCTTTTTGGGACCTGGTGACAGGTCTCCAGGAGTCACTGCCATGTGCTCGTTCAGCCGCAGGTAAGCAGAGAAGTCAGGTGGGCCGGCCCCAGGGGGCAGCCGCAGGGGAAAGCCGGGGGCCCATCCCGGGAAAGGAGGGAACCTGGTGGCTTGCTGGACTGGCCCTGCACGGGAAACGTTTGCCTCGGGTTGGAGTCGAATTTCTGGGCCCGGGTGTAGGGCTTGGCTTGCCGGCTGATGGCCTGCGCCCTGCAGGTGTGTGCGTGCCAGGTGCGAGCCACTGGGAAGATGTACGCCTGCAAGAAGCTGGAGAAGAAGCGGATCAAGAAGCGGAAGGGGGAGGCCATGGCCCTGAACGAGAAGCAGATTCTGGAGAAAGTGAACAGTAGGTTTGTAGTAAGTACATAGGAGCCACTTTCCCTTTGCATCAGGGCAGAGTGGTGGGCTGGCCAGCCTGCAGCTCGGGCGCCGGCTGTGCTGGAAAGGTGCCCTCTCCCTGCCTGTGCACGAGCTGGCCTGGCAGCAGGCGGTGCCCAGCTGATCCTCGTCCCCTCTAGGCCAGGGCCAGGATCCAGCAGGACCCTGCACTGCGTGCGGGACAGGGCACCGGACTGGATGGTGTCACAGCAGCCGTCTGCCCGGTTTATGGCTTTCTTCCTGCCCCAGCTGGCTAGCATGCCTTTAGGAGAAGGGAGACGTGGCCTATGCAGCTGGCCTCGGACCTGCTGCAGCTTGGGGGCGTGTGGCAAAGAGCTGCTGGGCACTTGTGGTGCACATCCCTGTGCCAGAGGAAGCAGCAATGCACAGTGGGGAGGTGGCTCCTCCGGCTGCCTGGCGCTGAGCGATGCACCAGGTAGGACTGTGGGGTGACCCCAGGCCAGACTCCTCTCCTGCACCACAAGCCCCTTGCCCCAGGTCACAACCTCTCAGACCCCACACTCGCTCCTGCACGCCAGCCCCCTACCCTGCACCCCTACCCCAGGTGCCCCCAGCAGCATGGGGCCAGGGGCCGGAGAACCCCCGCAGCCCGCGGCAGCCCAGAGCCGGGGGGCCGGGAAACCCCAGGTGCCCCCAGCAGCATGGGGCCAGGGGCCGGAGAACCCCCGCAGCCCGCGGCAGCCCAGAGCCGGGGGGCCGGGAAACCCCAGGTGCCCCCAGCAGCATGGGGCCAGGGGCCGGAGAACCCCCGCAGCCCGCGGCAGCCCAGAGCCGGGGGGCCGGGAAACCCCAGGTGCCCCCAGCAGCATGGGGCCAGGGGCCGGAGAACCCCCGCAGCCCGCGGCAGCCCAGAGCCGGGGGGCCGGGAAACCCCAGGTGCCCCCAGCAGCATGGGGCCAGGGGCCGGAGAACCCCGAGAGCCAGCAGCAGAGTGGAGCTGGGGGCCAGAGTGGGCTGGGACTGGCAGCAGCAGAGAGGGGGCCAGAGCAGGGGCACCTCCCCTGGTCTGGCAAATCCCAGCGAGGCCCTGACCGTGCTGGACCAGGGAGGTCCTCGCTGGGTCTGCGCTCAGTGCGCAGTCAGGAGGGGATCTCCTGGCCGGGCCCACTAGCTGCTGCCCCCTGTAGGGCTGCCAGGTGGTTTAACCAAAAATACCGACACCCCCTCAAAAATGGGGACACGTTTTGTTGAAAATAGTGGGGGGGGGGGGGGGGGGGAGAGAGT